ATGTTAACGAATAAATAGATTGAAAATTGAATAAGTAATGTTAATGTATAACTGAGGTATCTCTTTTCTATGGTCGTTACTTTACTTGCATGTTTGACCAGGACCGTCCAACTGTCTGCACCACACAAAATGACAGACAGAAATACTATTTTAAACAAAGCTATTTTTGTTTCCTTCTTTACCTCCTGTTTCCCTAATATTGTAGTGCAGATAAAGTAAAACACACCATTGGCCTTCTTGACTCTATTTAAAATCTCCTGGTTGATCTGTCCATCTCTGCTGAAAATCGTGCCCAAGTACTGGTAGTTATCTATTTTTTGTAATGGCTCATTATTACTTTATATGAGAACTTAGTCTTCCACATCTCAGCTGACGAGCATCACCTTACTTTTTGTAGGGTTTATTTCCATTTCCTTCCTTGGAGTTTTTCTGACCATTCATTGACAGCCACCTGAAGCCTTTCTTGGGTGTCGGCAATCAGGACCACGTCATCTGCATATAGGAGAGCTTGTGCTTGCACAGGAATTAAATTCCATTACTCCACTGTTGCTCTGGGTGTCCTTTACTTACAAACCTTCCATACTTCATCCATGCATATGTTGAATAGTAGTGGGCTTAGGCTATCACCTTGCTTGACGTCTTTATAATACCTAAATGGCTCCGATTCAGATCCGTTAAGCCGCACTATTCCCTTCGGATCCTGGTGCACCGATTTGATAGAGCTTGCATGGCACCCGTTTTTCCTGTAGAGCATTCCAAATCTCTTGGTGAGAAATCGAATCAAATGCAGCCTACAAGTCCAGGAATGCCAAAAATTGCCTTCTTCCTCTATCCCATGCTTTCTCAACAACCATTCTTAATGAGAAAATGTGATCCTGGTTTCGCCTCCCTGGTCTAAAGTCCAGCTTGCTCCTCTTCTTCCAGATCATGCTCCATTCCAGATCCAATCTTCTAAGCCAATGTTCCATATTCTTGTATATAATTTACATACTATAGAGGATAGGCATATTTGTCTATAATTCTCACAATTTGTCTGGTTGCCTTTCTTGAAAATCGGAATTATAATATTATTTTCCAGTCCTGAGGTATTTTCTTTTGCGACCAGATCTTTCAAAATAGATTCTGGAGGCACTTGACCATTTCTTCTCCTCAATATTTTATAAACTCTGGCATAATATTATCCCTGCCTGCTGCTTTGCCCAATTTTATTTTTTCCATAGCCAATGCAATCTCATCTTCTTCTATAACATCACTCTCACTATTCTCACTACTCACCACCTGGTTTTCCCGGATTCTAGGTATTCTATGGCCATCATATCGAGGATATTGTCTGTATTCCTGGAAGGAAAAGGTACTCTGGTAGTGTTTTTGCAATACTTTGATAATTTCTTTTTCATTTGACACCAAATTACTATTATAATCTTTCTCATTCTGACGTATTCATCCCAACAAGCTTGGGATTTATTCTGCTTGTATAGACTTCATGCTTCTTTCTTATCTTTTACTGCTTTTTGCACTTGATCATTCCAACATCTAGTACTTTTGGTCTGAGGCCTTATTTTCTCAATACCGTCTCTGTTGCTCTAGAACGGGTGATTGTTTTGATATGAAGCCATAGGTCATCGAGAGTCATGTCATAATTGCCTTCTACTATATTTGTCAGTAGCACTTCTCTATATCTTTTAATCACTTCTGGATCTCTGAACTTTTCTTCTGCAATTTGTTCATATGCTTTGAAGTGTCTCTTCCGTGGCTTAGCAATTTTGGTATCAGTAACAACCAGGCGATGATTGGTGCCTAATTATGCTCCTGTAATTGCTTTTACATCTGTGAAATATCTAAGCATTCCTCTGTTTTAGATAATGTAATCTATTAGACTATTGGCCTCCGTTCCTTCCGCTTCAAAAGTAATTTTATGGATTAACTTATGTCTGAAGTGAGAATTCTCAATAAGAATATCATTTTCTATGCAGAATTCAATTAATCTCTGGCCATTATCATTTTTAACTTTTTCACCACCCCATAGACCTATTACTCCAGGGGAGTTAACGTTGTCCTGGCATTTAAATCTCCACAGATAACTACCATTCAGTTCTCAATGCGGCCTTTGTCAACAGACCTCTGCAGGTCTCATAAAACTGGTCCTCGTCAACAACCGGTGAGTCTTCCATAGGAGCATAAACCTGGATGATTGAGGTTTTACCAATAGCGAGTTGGATGTTGGCTAATATGATGGGTGGTGACACAGCATTCATCCTGTTAAACAGTTCATCCTCCATAGCAAACACCACTCCACCTTTAGCCCTCTCTCTCTCGTATTCACACCAGAGTATATCATTTTAAATCCATTAACCAGCCTTGTGATGACATTTCTCTTCTTCTTAGTTTCACTGAGGATTATAATGTCCACTTTGTACTTATTGATTTCGCAAACAGGTTCGACCTCTTTACCAGAAAGGGTCTTGATGTTCCATATACCTATTCGAATATCTTTATCCATGATGTGTCTGTTACCTATAGACTGTCCAGTTCCAAGGCAATTTTCGTCTATGAATCAGTTATACTTTGTATTCTATAAATATAATACTTTATATTTCAACTATACTATTAGCCACTACATCACGGAGGTCTTCTTATAAGTTCTTCAATTTCTGTATCAGACAAATGTTACTTATTTAAAATCAACTAATAATTCATTTATATTATTTTTTACTTTGTACTTTTTATATATTGTATCTTTTGTAGCCCTGCAAAGACCTAGAAAATGGATCAAAATGCCATTGTAACCAATAAAATACAATTATAATATGTAGTATTTAATTTGACTGCACACCTGACCAACACCTCCTCAAATTATAATCACGGTCAACCATATCCACATCAAAAAAGAAATTGATTAGTGTATAATAAAAAAGGTACTTTTTGACTAGCAGGCCGGCACGAAACCTCACTTCTTATCTAACATCACGTCACATAACCTCCCTCTTCTTATCCCGCCAAACCTTTGAGTTATTGCATTGTTTAGTTTTCAGTTATTCCCTTATTACGTTCACTTATTAAATTCTTTAGTTTGTGGCCCCTTTGTGTTTATTTTTCTTTTTTTTTTTTTTTTTTGTTTATTTTCATCATATTATGGATCTTCTTAGAATATGGGATTTGCCGTCTTCAGAAGAACAGGCAATTCAATATTTTCAAAATGTTGGGATACTTGCAGACGTGAATTTTGAGTGAACGAGGTCATCAAATGAAGTTAACCAGGAACGCCAAATGGAGATGCTGTCATAGGACTTGTGACACAAAACTTTCAATAAGGAAAGGAACATGGTTGGAGGGCTCGAGGATTTCGTTTTTAACAGTTTTAAAATTGATTTATGGGTGGTCCCATAGCTTAACAACGTTGAAGTGGGGCAAAGAGCAGCTAAAACTATCCTACGGAGCTATGGTAACGTGGAACAAATGTCTAAGAGAGGTTTGTGCCCATGACATGTTATACAGGCCAAGAAAAAAAATTGGAGGACCTGGCAAAGTGGTTGAAGTACACGAAAGTCTTTTTTCTAAATGAAAAAATCATGTGGGGAGAGCAATGGATGTTTGGTGGAGTTTGCCGAGAAACAGATGAATGTTTTATCGTCAAAATAAATTACAGAAAAGCAACAACCTTATTACAAGCAATTAAAGACAATATAGAAGAGGGAACGACCGTTTATTCGGACTGTTGGAAAGGATATAACACCCGACAAATCAACGAAGCAAACTATGACCATTTCCAAGTGAATCACTGGTATAATTTTGTCGATCTATCAACTGAGGTTCATACTCAACACATAGAACGATTATGGGGCTCAGCGAAGTGGAGAAATAAAGTACATAGAGGAACTGCCAGACAACACCTCGATTCATATTTATGCGAATTTTTGTGGCGGCGGGTTCACAGAGAAGAGGACCCTTTGCCTTCCAAAATAAATAGGACAAAGTGAAGTGTTTTTTTATTATTACATTTTGATGTTTTATACGTCAATATCTTCTTAAAGTGTTTTTTTATTATTTCATTAATATATGTGTCGTAAAATAAAATTATTTTTTTTGTTATTACATTAGTTTTTGTATCTGTTTACACTTTCAATAATACGAAGATAGGAAGTAGGAAAAGATTTATCACTGCGTTATCGGAATTATCAGTGTTCAGGTTATAAACATTGGCAGATAGCAGTCAGTGCCCCCCTGCTAGTCAAAAAGTACCATAACCTAAAAATCAAGGTAAAGCAAAGGCAAAAATAAATAAGAAATTTTGAGTCAAATTAGATAAAATATCTTTTCCTCTGTCCCTAGAGCCCTTGGAAATAAATAACGGTACATGTGCCTAATATTTTTTGATATAGTATCATTGAAAAAAAATTGTTTGAAATCTGTGACCTCTCCTTGTTAGTGACAACCTTAATATATACACTGCTTGGTATTATGATGTTAAGTCATATTTTATACTCTGTTCTTGATATGATGTAAATTTTTAACATTTTTCCAGAGTTCTGATTTAATTTTTACCTGACTACAGAGAAGTCATATGCAGGATTATGTGTTTGGGTTTTCCACTAAAAGGTATGTAAGCTGATTGGACCGATTTTAAAGTTCAGTGGCTCAAATTATTCAATGAGATCCCATGAGTGTTTTGAAACAATTTAGGTTCAAAACATTAATAAATTATTGCATGAAATATGTTATAATTGATAAACTAAAAGGTATTTAACAATTTTAAGAACGAACATCTGGTAGATTTTTAAATTTGAAGACTCAAATTATTCAAAGAGATTTTATGAGTGTTCAGACTAATTGAAGAAATTATAATGGTGGAGAAATTGTTGAATTTCGACAATTTTAGTAGGAGTTTGTTGGGGATTGCAGTCAGATTGATATATACATTACATTGGTTTAGGTATTTCACATTGACTGCAACCCTCAACCAACTTCTCCTACAAATGAAAGTAAGCAACGAATTACTTTACCCTCTTGCGTCTTTCAGAATTTAACAAACTAACTTTAGAAGAAGCCATTAAACAAGTAACTGTCAAACTAAACAACACTTATGTCACCAAACTGTAAACATCGAACAGTACAGAAGTCCAAAGAGATCAATCAATCAATCTAACGATATCGAAGATGTATCAAGTACAAGATTACATTAAGAGAAAGTAACCGATGTATTGATATTTAAAAAAATAGAAATGAACATTTAAAATATAATGGGAAAATAGCTTTATTTTTGGAGTCTCAAAAGTTTCTTCCACCACCGCACAGTGGTCCCAAATGGTGAAAACGTGGACATAGTATTATTTTTTACGTGCTTCTCTAGACTAAAGCTACCGATACTTAAAAAAAATCTAAAAAGTAAAATAAATGGATATGCAACCATTCATCAATCTTTTTTTTTTTTCGTATTTTTCTAAAGCTAGGCCTTCAATAATATAGCAAGTGGCCTTTATTTCGAAAAAAAATCGAAAATTGACAAAAATTCTAAAGTTGAATTTGAAATGGAAAAGGTTGAATTTGATTTGGAAAAGGTTGAAATTGACTTGGAAATGCTATATACACTGACAGGCAAAATATTCCACCCACTTGATTTTTTCATATTTTCATCTAAAAATATTCCTGCTTTGGATTGGTCTATTGGTCTATAAAAAAATAGAAATGAACATTTCAAATATAATTGGAAAACAGCTTTATTTTTGGAGTCTCTAAAGTTTCTTCCACCGTACAGTGGTCCCAAATGGTGAAAACGTGGACTTAGTATTATTTTTTACGTGCTTCTCTGGACTAAAGCTACCGATACTTATTCAAAGCTACAGGTCTAAGCTATCCAGGAGTTAGATTTTAAGGGCGCTAAAATAGATTATAAAATTGTAAATTTAATTGAAAGTAATGAAAAACTTGTACAAAAGAGGCTGGATTTGGCTCGACACCAATACATTCAGTTTTCACTAAATGTGTATATAATATTTCTTTATTCCGACTTAATTGCTTTTCCTTTTTTAGAGGATAAAAATACGCGTCAATTGAGCAAAAAAAACAAACATTTATTTTGCTCATCGAAAACCATTTAAAGTTTTCTATAATTTTGGAAGTTCCAGAGTAATTCTGTGCAATTCCTCTACTTCAAATATTTCGACTTTTAGCAATTGTTTATTAATATTAATATTAATTGAAAGTAATGAAAAACTTGTACAAAAGAGGCTGGATTTGGCTCGACACCAATACATTCAGTTTTCACTAAATGTGTATATAATCTTTCTTTATTCCGACTTAATTGCTTTTCCTTTTTTAGAGGAATTGAGCAAAAAAAACAAACATTTATTTTGCTCATCGGAAACCATTTAAAGTTTTCTATAATTTTGGAAGTTCCAGAGTAATTCTGTGCAATTCCTCTACTTCAAATATTTCGACTTTTAGCAATTGTTTGAGTATTGTTCAAAATATTCATTGTGATATCTACATCAATAAATAACAAACGATAGCTGCCACTGTTGACTTGAGACCAGGTTCTAATGATACTGAATAAACATTTTGATTACATAGAAAGTAAACATTGGAATCTAGAATCATTTCATTGAATTAAGGATTAAGGGTTATTGTCCTCTATATTAACATTCCTAATTGCAAACATACAAAAAGATTACCTATTTATTCATTAAAAACAATAGACCAATCCAAAGCAGGAATATTTTTAGATGAAAATATGAAAAAATCAAGTGGGTGGAATATTTTGCCTGTCAGTGTATATAGCATTTCCAAGTCAATTTCAACCTTTTCCAAATCAAATTCAACCTTTTCCATTTTAAATTCAACTTTCAAATTTTTGTCAATTTTCGATTTTTTTTTTTCGAAATAAAGGCCACTTGCTATATTATTGAAGGCCTAGCTTTAGAAAAATACGAAAAAAAAAAAAAAATTGATGAATGGTTGCATATCCATTTATTTTACTTTTTAGATTTTTCCGCTATATTACCCTGTCACATTCAGTTTTATCCAAGTCAAATTCAACCTTTTCCAAGTCAAATTCAACCTTTTCCAAATCTAATTAAACCTTTTCCAAATCAAATTCAACCTTTTTCATTTCAAATTAAACCTTTTCCAATTCAAATTCAACCCTTTCCATTTCAAATTATAGTTTAGATTTTTTGTAAATTCTTGATTTTTTTTCGAAATTAGGGCCATTTTTCCAATATGATAATCAATTATTATGCTCCTCTAAGTACAGTTTTTGAAAACACTACCGATTTTATGTTAAACTTTTGGATAACGATTTATTGTAGCTATTCGGATTTATTCGATATAAGGGTCTACTTTTATGTTTTTGGAGCATTAGATTTTGAAAATAATCTCCATTTTAGGATACGCCACTGCGTTTCATCTTATTTAAGTTTTTCGGCTTTATCCGATATGAAGGTGTATCCTTATGTTTCCTGGAGATGTGGATTTTGAAAATGACCTCCTTTTCAAGATTACGCCACTGCGTTACGACTTGTTTAAGTTTTTCGGATTTTTTTCATATAACGCCGTATTCTTATGTTTCCGGAGCCGTGGATTTTGAAAATGGTCTCCATTTTAAGATTACGCCACTGCGTTTCGACTTGTTTAAGTTTTTCGGATGTATTCAATGTAAGGGTCTACTTTTATGTTTCTAAAGCCATGGATTTTGAAAATGACGTCCACTTCAAGATTAAGCCGCTGTATTTTGGTTAATTAAAGTTTTTTGGACTTATTCGGTATTAGTATCTACACATATGTTTTCGGAGACGTTGTATTTGAAATTTATCTAATCTCTAATATTTAAATTTATTAGATATTTAATCTCCATTTGAAGATTACACTATTGCATCTCGATTAATTAAGCTTTATTTTGGATTTTTTCAATACAACGTTTGATCAATATCTCATCGAGTATGAATAAATAAATATACGAAGCTAACGTTAAATTAACCTCAAAACACTAAGTAAAAAGCCGAAAAAGCAACTGGTAATAAATTTAACCTACCATTTTCAGATTTTTCAGCTGATTGTTCGAAATTCGTCTCTTATAATTTTCTAAGTGGATACCGCAGTATCAAAAAAGAAAACTAAAATTTAAATTTAAAGTGAGACAATAGATACTTTATTTGTTTCGGCTGAAAGTAAATTAATCCTTCGTTTTTTTTTTTATTCGAAGGAAAAATCAAAAAAACTTTTAAAAAAACGAAATGCAGTGGCGTAATCTTAAAATAGAGGTCATTTTCAAAATCTAGGGCTCCGGAAAGACAAGAATACTCCTTTAAATAAAAAAAAAAATCCGAAAAAATTAAATAAGTAAAAATGCAGTGGCGTAATCTTAAAATGGAGGTCATTTTAAAATTACGCGGAGAAATCAAGGGCTCCGGAAAAATAAGAATGCACCTTTATATGGCAAAGTACTACTCATCCCTACAATCCTCATCGAAGGTTGAAGCGGCAGTTGCCCAGAGACTTGTTGTAAGAATATATTGGAGTACTGGCAATGGCCAGATTCTCCACTCGAGCCATGTATGTCTGGTTATAGTGTCTCTGCTCAGCCTCCATTGGTAATACCAGTGATGCGGCTGAGTGAAAGACGCTGGGATCTCCTAGAGCCCTGCCTTTCCCTCTATGAGTGTGGGAAAAGGCTTGGCTCGGAGGTCTTGAGTGAATGAATATTGTAAATATTGTATGTATGTAAAAGCATGTGTGTATTTAAATATTTAAATTTGTTAGATTAGTTTTTTTTTGTTTAGTTTAGTATCTTTTAGTTTATATACATTTACTTTTAGTATTATTATATTGCTGTTTATTATTTTTATTTATTGTGCATAGTTTGAATGAGCGACTCTTTATCACTATTACTATTGTCCTTGAATGTGACAGACTGTAATATATCTCAATAAAGAAATTTCCTTTAAAAAAAAATATTATTTTTAATTTTTTTTCATGAGTTAATAGTTTCTCGTATTGTTATCTTAAGTATTATTCTTAGCCCTGATGAAGGCCTGAACTTTGGGCCGAAACATCGGTACAGAGAAACACTTTATTTAGGACAAGGACATCTGGTACATTGGACAGTCGCTGAGCAATGGACCAATGTTGAAGAAGTGCCTCCCATTGGCAGTAAATTCATCCCAATCCTCGGTATCTCCTGGGAGCATACAACATCGCCGTAGAAGTATTCGCAGGGAGTCTAATAATGGCCTTTACGCTCCTGCGAATCATAGTGTTGATGCCGTCCAGTATGGCAGGACGCAGCTTTGTGAGGGGCGCAGTTTGGGGAGGGTAAGTAAGACCCGGGAACAGATATTGATTGACAATGTTGAGTTCCTGCTCAGGTTTAAGTAAGCAAGAGGTTACCAGCTTGTTAAGATTATCATGCAATTTAGTCACTGAAGCTTCGTTGAATTGTAGCTCTCCCGAGAATGTAAATCCTATATACTTAATCGTAAACCATTCTTCAATTTTTGGATGTACTCTCCATTCTCAAGGGAGGGCACCGCAGTTTCCAGCTCACCTTTATTTAGAACGAACTTTGAGAAACTTTAGAAACTTGCCTACGGCATCATCAAGATCCGCAGTATTGGCCATATTTTGATAGTATTCATCAAGATCTTCAAAAAAGTACATATAAACAATTGCCCAATTTCCAGTAGAAAAGTAGGAAATTCAACATTTGTGTTTTTATTTTTTTAACAATTCACGTTTTTTGTTGAATAGGAAGCGATAACTAAAAAAATATTTGATTTAAGTAATTAAACATTGCTCCAAAGTATACTAGATAAAATTTACCTAAAATGGTAATAGAGTTTGTCATCGTTAAAACCATTTAAAGAGGTCTATTAAGCGGACAAACTCGGCAAAGTTCAGTTTATCTGATTTTTTTATGACCCTTCAAATGTACTACAGTTACCCCACTTTTAGGAAAAGGTTCTCATTTAATTAGCTTCAAGTCCATATTAATTAATTTAAGATTTATTAGGGAAAATATTGAGATTCGACTCAAGTTGTGTAAAGAAATGATGTG